TGATTCAGAGTTAATGAAGTCACTAATAGGAGGCCATTTGCAAGACATAATCACATGACTGTTACTGACTTCAAAACAATTTGGTTCTTACTTATTTTAAAGAGCTTTTGCTGGATTACTAATGTCATCACCAAATGCATTTCCAGAATTMWATTACCAAAATCTTAAAGTTATTAGAAATATCTTTGTGAAATCATCACTTCGGTGCTCTATTGTATATTAAGGACAATGATTGATATTGATTACACTCTGATGTTAATTCATTTCATGATGAAGCAGAAGCAGAAGCAGGARCAGAAGCAGCTACAACAAAACCTCCTGAGATTCTTGCCAGTAGTTCTGAGGCCTTGGAAGCTTACAAAGAAGCCCTTACAAGGGGTAAAACAAAAAATAGGCGTGTGCTGGTAACAGTAGTAGGACCACCCCGTGCAGGAAAGACAAGCCTGTTGAAATCTTTAAAAGGTAATGCCAGATTACCATTGATGTTTTTCAAAGAGGGGATCTTAGATGTAAGGCATGGATAAAAAGTGTGATTTGTTGTGTGAGGGAACGATTCATTTATTCATTTATTCATTTATTCATTTATTCATTTATTCATTTATTCATTTATATGTTTGTTTATTTTTGAAGGAGAGGAGTTCGATGCTTCTGAAGAGAGCACTATTGGAGTTGTAATTCAGAAGGCCTTTTGCATACCGCAAGATAATTTTTGGCTTGAGGAAGATGATGGCAAAAATGAATTGTTATATAATCGCATTGCTGAATGTATGGCTCAGAACCTCAAAAGTAATCAGACAAGAGAAGGCAAACTAGTCGCTGAGACTGCTACCAATTATCAAGCGGTTGCCGACCATCATGCAAATCAACAAGGTTTAGAACATGAAGWACCTGAAATTGGAGAATCAGTAAAAGAAAGTACAAGCGGGTTACAAGAATCAATTTTTAATGAACTGGTTCAAGTTCCAAAAGAAATACGACATTTGCTTGAAAAACACATCAGGGACACTAAGAAGGGCGGCCAGAGAACAAACGAAAACGAAATTTCCTTAAAAACACTTGATTTTGCTGGACAACAAGTCTATGAAGTCATTCTCCCGTTATTTATATCTTCAAAGTCAATCTATATATCCGTTCATAGCTTAGAAAATGACCTTCTTTCTGATGCGCAGCCAAAGGTAAAACATGGCAACTCAGAAAGGAAACTCAAAAATCCTTTTAAAATGACATATTTGGACGCTCAAGAGTTTTGGCTTTCTTGTATTTTATCGTATACGAACTTGAAAAAGGAAGTTGACTCTGTTGACTACAGAACCCAAGTGGCATTGCCACCAGTATTTGTAGTTTGCACTCATGCAGATGTTTGTAATCAAGACCCGAAGAAAGTTTCTCGAAAATTGTGTAAGATTTTGACGCGTCCCGAAAACTCCTATGGCAAGCACGTTGTACCAAATGTCTACACCGTTGATAACAAATTATCAGGAAACAAAGAAGTAAAGGATGAATCTGCCAAAAGATTGAAGACGGATGTTGAAGAACTATCTAAATTGCTTCCCCAAGTAAATGAAGATATTCCAGTCAGCTGGCTGCAATTTGAGGAGGAGCTTTCAAGACTTGTAGAGAAAGAGCAGAAGAAGTACGTTRRTTTGGAAGAAGCTATGAGGATCGCTACCCAATGCAACGTCAACACAGCCACAGAATCCATCGAGTTTACGACACTGTTAAACTACCTACATGACTTAAAAACAATCATTTACTTTGAAGAAACCAGAACAGTATTCATCGATACGCAGTGGCTGGTCGATATGTTTGTTAAGGTCATCACAGTCATGCCATTTGAAGAATGGAAGAAGTATGCTGCTTATTGGAGAGAACTAGAAGACGAGGGTATTTTACAACGAGCTCTAGTAGAGCATGTGTGGAGTGACATAGCAAGTGATGGCCAAAACACAGTTGACTCTTTGCTTCTGATCATGGAGAAGTTCTCACTGATTTGTCCGTGGAGGCTGAATAAAGAACAAGTGTACCTTGTTCCTTGTATGTTGTGTAACAGCAAGGGAACTGAGGACATCGAGATGCTGCTAGCTGACCAGAAATCTTCAACAATGCTCATTCGTTTCGAGAGTCTTCACCTGCCTATGGGCATCTTTCCAAGGTTGTTTGTAGCACTTGCTGAACATGGCAAGAAGGAATGGCCAAAAGTAAGTCTGCCAAAGCTTCGTCCGAACTTTTGCAGGTAGGATTGATACAATTATTTGCACTGATTTAATATTTGTAGAAATACGTGGTAATTTTGTTGCTTTTGTACTTATTCGCTAGTGCTTCGTTCATTCTCTTTTGCCGGTTGGCCTGGGTACCAGACAAAGTCTACTATGGGTTCATTCCCTGGCTCTCAGTCTGGAGGCTCGGTTACCATGTTCATTCCTAGTCAGGAAAATGTTCTACAATATTTTTCTCCATTTTCGCATAGACTGGAGCTTTGCTTGTTGTCCCACTTGTGATGCACATCGCCAACTATTCCGGCCATGCGCCGCTTGGTAAGTCAGCGGATATCATGTATAAAATAGAAACCACAGGAAGCCCAAGCTCTCTCAGGCCCGGACTTAAAGAAACAAAACATTTTGCTACGGTATTCCTGTGCTTTAATAGGTATCCTATTACAAACGATGGCAAACGAGAGCTGAGGATTCAAGCTTTATTTTGGTACCAAACATGCCGTATTTTGCGAATAATTTTCAAGGTTTTTACTTCAAAAAGTGCCTATTCTTGAAGAAAGGATCTCACAAATACTCGTCTCAAATCGGAGCTTTTAGAAAGTAAAAAACGAAAAGTATAAATTCGTTCAATCGACCACAGATTCGACATCAGTAATTTAGAATGTGTGTATTTTATGGATCCACCCCGGCAAATGAGGTAACTAGCTCTGATTTT